CGCGCGAGCCGATTTCATCACTCCACCTTGGCGGCGGGCGCGTTCCCCCTCCCTTGCCTGCCATTCCACCATTGCTCTCGACCAGCAGCAGTCGTCCATTCGAGTGACGTCTCCTGCCCAAGCGCTCCTTTCTTGACCCATCGAAATGTCTTTGAGCCACCGCGTGCGCTCTCTCGTTCGCGCCTTCCTCTTGCCGTCTCTCCGGCGTAATCCCAAGAAATGTGGATATCTACCATGCTTCTTTGGGCGTTGTTCGCTTTTTGTTTTTTTTAAAGAGGTCACACCAAAGGCAGAGACATCTGTTCATCCTTGGCACCTGCTAGAGACTGGCAGGGTGCACGAGTCGCCACGGTGATGTGTCTCGGTCGTTGCTGTGATCTCGATACTGCCCGAGTCCTCGTCGGCCAGTTGAATTGTGCGACCAGTATCCTTACAAGAATAGAGGTTTTTGACTTGGAATGCGCGAATAGAAATGTGGCGTTAAACCCGCCACCACCCGACACAGCCAATTAGTAAGGTTTGTCACGTAAACAAAACATGCTGTTTCAGCACACCGGTGTGTTGGAGAGTAAACCCACAACATTTACAATTTACCCTCCAACACACAGGTGTGTTGACGTTGTAACTAATTGGCACATTTTGTTAACGTCACAAACCTTACTAATTGGCCGTGTTGGGTGGTGGTGGGTTTAACGACACATTGACGCGATCTAACCCAAAACCCTCTGGATAATATTAGTCGTGAAAGCCGTAGTACATATTTTAACAAACATCCTTACAAGAAGCCGCAGTCAAAGCGATGTCCTGCTCAAATGAGCACCAAGAGAGCGCTCATCTCAACTGCACGCAGGACGTGAGTCGATGGTGGGAATTCCTCTTTCGTATGGGCAGGAGGCAAGTCTTTCGATTGGGACAACAAAGGTTTCCTAGACCACAAAGTTGTAGTCATTTTATTGACCCCCCCAGAGGAGGGATGATGGGCGGACTCAACCCCCACCACCCAGGATTTGAACCTGCAACCTCTTTGGCTTGCGAGCTGCTCCCTCTCTCATGCCGAGTCACGTGGCTAGACAGGGCCTTTTACGTCCACGTACATTACGTGATGTATAAATGGCGAAACATTTGTTTTAATAATTTCTCCTTGCATGTTTACCCCGAATATAAATATCTTGTTTTGGGGTGGCGTAGGGGGGGGGGGGGTATGGTTTAATGCCTCCTGTATATATAGAAAAATAAAAAAATAAACTATCTCCTGGGCTGGGCGAAGTCGCATTGCTTCGTTGGGATGAAATATTAATGGGGACTCTGCACACCAGGTGCACAGAATCAGGTTCTCAAGTTTTTTTTTCTTTTTTCCCCCCGACGCGAATCGAATTACGACAAGGCTCAAAACAGCAGCCAATTACGACGCTGGCGATGTAACTCGTTTAACCACGAGGGCGATTGCATGTTAACGCTATTACAAGGACAATTCGAGAATATTAAACGTATTGCGGCAACGGGATCGGTTCTTTTAACACGTCCCATCCTCCCCGCTGTGTGAGAACGTTGAGAATGCAGTGCATTTTTTTTCTATTTAAAGCTTTCGTGACTGCAGGGATTCATCTTCTTGGTTCTTTCGGTAAAGTCACGTAGAAGGGAAGTAATAAAATAATTAAAATAAAACATAATAAAAATAATTCTCACGACGTTTCGGCCACAACCCCAAGCAGCCGTCCTCAGGTGAAGACCAGGTCTGTCGGGGAGACAGCGTCTACGTGACTTTACCGAAAGAACCAAGAAGATGAATCCCTGCAGTCACGAAAGCTTTAAATCGAAATTTAAAGCAGCACATGTTAAGATCCGGCGATCATCAGGGTTCTGTGCTGTAATTCCGTGACCGTGGAATTGTTGCTGTACCTAATTCACATCGTCAATCATCCTCGACCGTCATCAATCCACTGCTGGACGAAGGCTGCCCCGGGCCGTTTGCTATATTTCGCAGTACCGTCGTGATGCAATAAGCCGTCTGATTTGATCGCTCTATCTCTGCGGGTGAACGTGCTCTCTCTCAGTCGTGCTCCGCCCCATCATCTCTCCCAGCGATGGTGTGTTCTGCCCATAAGCGTCAATGTGTGCCCAGATCCATCCGCTCCTTTTTCCCTGTCTCGGAGAATAATTCAAGGCACTCATAAATATTCAGTAGGCTCTCTGTATGCGATTAACGACACAATTAACGTTTATCTTTGGGACATTAAACACCAAACAAAACTGAAAACCATAGCTAAGCCCTCTACACGCCCGTTGCGCCACGTTCTGTTACACGCACACGGTATCTGCGTATTCATTTTTTGTAAATACGTTTGCGTGCAATTTGGCCGACCCAGAGAGATCTTGCCATCATGCACTTGCACCCATTGAGAAAAAAAAAATGTGAATTGAAGTGTATATCATCATCATCGGCCACGGTCATCATTGGCCATGGTCTACCCACTGCTGGATGGAGACTTGGAAAGCCACTGTTATTTGCGACGTCAATCGTGCACAGCGCTTACAAATGTGCGCACTTTATACATTGCTATCTCTAACGGTAGTGTGCGACGTTAATTGTACGCAACTCAAAACAAAAACATCGTATGAAATCTGGCACTTACTGTAATGAACCACCGATGTAACGACCAAAGGTCACGCTTGTTTCCGACAACGACAGCGGAAGTCTATTAATGTTAACGCCAATGGCTCCTTCGCTGTCAATTTGTCATCCGCGGGGCTCTCGCGGCACGAGAGAGAGAGAGCCTCATGGTTGACCAAAGCTCTCCCCCCGCAGCCCAAATGTGTTGCGCGATCCCTTGCCAGGTGTGACCGAAGATACCGTTCGAGATAGACGCTTCTGCCGTCGATGGGCACGGTTGGCTACGTACGGTGAGAAATAAGTTATATGTACATGTATGCAAGTGACGCAAGCGGTGTTCCACCACCTGTTGTATTTAAAACAATATTTAGCCACGGCACCGTTCATTTATTAATTCTACCAGGTCAGGGCCACTGAGCTATATAGATCTTTTTCAGAAGTGACCTGGCCGCAAATGATAGCGCAACTAAGTGGCTTACGATGTGGAAATTTAAAACCTAGACGACCCGGAGAAAAATTTACGCGACCACGGGGGGAGAGAGACGCACGCAAACTCCAAATACACGGCCGTCAGGGTTGGGACCAAACCCGCGACCTCTTGTATACCAGGCGAGGTAGTTAACATCTCGCCACTGCGGCACCCACTGCAAGGCCTGCTGACCGGAGCCGAATGCACAAAGTAAAGGAGCGCTTGCTCACGGCATCTAAAGATAAAAAATAAAAGCCATTACCGCTGTGGAGGGTATATTGGAGGTCGCTCTCGCATCGCTAAATCATTTATACTGCTGTGCGTTAATTCGACCCAAGTGAACGGCGACTGGAGTTTTCATCGTTGCCGTGTAAATCTCCCCCTCTTTTGTATTTCGCTGTGGACGCATCTCCAGTGCAAGCAACAAATGATCGCAGGCATGTCCTCCACACCCGACCGTGTCCAAACATCGCAAGGTAGATGCAGCCACCTCCTGCACCACAGGTGGAATATTAAAGAGCCCACGTTGTGACCGTGCACAACAGAGCCAAACCATGGCCCCAAATCATCTAAAATGCATTCCTCTGCAATGGCCATTGAACATCACAGATACCCAGCATCATCACCTGCAGCCACCTTCCCTGCACGTCCGGTTAGCACGGCTGGCTGAGTACGGAGTTCTCTGTACATACTCCCACGTGGCTCGACAACATCGACATTAATGACCACCACTGCTGATCAACCGCCCTCCTTTGCTGTACAACAGCAGAAACACATTCCGGCGGAGGGAGCTGGTAGGAACGTTGGGTTGCTCGGTCAATGGCCAGGGTCAACGGCGGCGTGGTGTATTCCGCAAATATGCCCGACTGTGAGGGCGGGCACAAGCCGGCGTGAGTAGGTTAAACGTTGAGTTTTATAAGGGCACCACGGGGTGACCAGCCCCTCCCCACCCAGCCCCACCCCTCCCACTCCCCACCCAGCCCCTCCCCACCCTCCCCACCCAGCCCCTCCCTGCACGACGGACGGACGGACACAATAATCCCCTGTGGGCTGATGTAACCAGGAGGTTCCTACCAGTATCATGGTAGGCATTGGTGGCGGTCTGACACGATGGCAACAGGTTTTTATTTGGAATCGCAATGCTCGCTTGGCTTAACGAGTCCAACAAAATGTCTCAAATGGGTCTTAAACAGTCGCTTCGTTGGCAAAAGTTTGCGGGCAAAAGTTTGCGAGCAGTGGGAAGACAAGAGGCAAGACCTGCTGTAGATGAGAATGCCAGATTGTTTTTTCCAAGGATTTCGGAACGCATTCGATAATTACATAAATTGGGATAATGAAGAGGCATGCTGGCATCAGCAGAGCCAATCATCCCACTGCTAATATCTTGCGCTGCACATTAGGCAAGGCAGATCACGCTGCTTCGAGGCACTCGGGCGTTGAATGTGTTTCCTGCGACTATTATACGTTTACTTTAATCCCATCACGGAAGCGCTCACGAAATCTACTAACGAGTTCTTAGGTTTTTTCGGTAAAGTCACGTAGGTAAAAAATTGAAATTAAAATTAATAAAAGTAAAATAAAATAAATAAAAATTAATTTCAATTTTTATTTTTTACCTACATGACTTTACCGAAAAAACCTAAGAATATGAATCCTTGCAGTCACGAAATCTTCAAATCTAGAATCTACTAACGAGGTTTGTGGCAAACACGAAAAAAAGTGGTGCACGGCGGCAGAGGTTCGCAACATACGCGCTCGCTCGCTCGCTCGTGCGTGCGCGTTGTCTCCCGTGCGCCAAGGGGTTGGTGGTTGTGGTCGGGGGGGTGGGGGGGAAGCCCCCTTCGTGGTGAAACGTTCAAACGGAGAAACGGCACGGGGAGAGAGTGCGAGGGAAAACTGAGGCGAGGCGTCGCTTCTTACCAGTCCGTGTGCCGATCGTCGATGACGAGCAGGATCTTGGGCCGCTTGGCCGCTTGGGACGAGGACTGGTCTCCCAGCCCGGTCGTCTGCTTCACCGCCTGAGACAGCGAACTGAAAAAGCCACCGCCGCTGCCGGTCACCGGCGGAGCCATGGAGGCGGACGGGACGGTCTGCATGGACTGCCGGCGCTCAGGGGCGGGCGAGGTCGAGGTGGATGAGGAGGCGGCGGCCACGGCGGCGCCGGTGGTGGCGGTGCCGTCTGGCCGCTGCAGGTCCATCATGTATCCGTTGGGGAGGTTGGTCATGAAGTTGCTGTCGGACAGGCGGCGGCGGAGGAAATTCATGTTTGCTTTCGTGGGATTTTTTGTTGAGAGCACAGAGGCGGCGGCGGCGTCGTCGGCGAAAGTGCAATTTGTTGAGAGTGCGACGACGTCGAGACGGCGGACGACGTTGTGGTGAAGAGATCGCCAAAGAAGGGACGGGTGGTGACGGTGGCAAAAGCAGCCTTTTGAGGTTTTGGCGTAGATGCAAAGAGGAGTATTAAAAATGTAAGCTTGCTTAGTGAAAAAAACTACTTTGCATTAGGGATCAATTATGTATGGCTTTAGGAAGTAACAGCAGCAGGCCAAGCCTCGGGGAGTAGTCCTCGATTCTGCAGAAATGTCTCGGCTCTCGCAGACCCGGATTTGTTCTCTGCCACCTCTCCTCCTACTCGAGTCCTGCGTTCTGCCGTCTCGCTCTGCTACGAGCAGTTGATTTTCAATGCCGAGCAGAGCACCAGCTGCTCTCCTGCAAACACCCACACCCACTTTCAGCCAGCCCTCCCTCCCTCTCTCCTCTCCTCCTTCTCTCTCTCTCCAGCCCTCCCACCTCCGAGCACCATTCACCACAGGGCGCGCGCACACGCACACACGCACCCCACGCACACACGCACCCCACGCACACGGCGCAGAGATCCATATCGACTGCCACTCGCTCGGCGCTCTTGCGTCCAATCGCCAGCGGTGCTTGGGGTGGTGGCTCCTCCTCGCTCTCTTATTTATTTCCACCCCCCCACATCCCCACCCATCCCCCCCCCTCCCGTTTCCGATAGCAAACGTCTGCTGCCCCGCCACTCGGCAAATCTCTCTGCCCTGCCAGCAGTAGCAGCGCCCGCTATCTCTCCAGTCGCTCGCTCGCTCGCCTTGCTAATCCGCTGTTAAATTGAATTAAAGGGGACCCACTTCCTCCACTCCATTAGTGCGCATCTGGCTTTGGGTCGCGACGAAAAAATGGGTGCACGTGAGAGGGCCAATTGCTCGTTATGCTTCGCCATTGGCAGAGGTCTCGTTGATATTTTTTTTAACAAGTACAGTCTGTTCTCATATAACGCGTTAGTAGCTGCGTTCCTAGTAGAACGCCGTGTTCTGGAAAAAATCGTGTTTATAGTAAATAATATCGGGTAAAGCACAGCCCGCGATAACACGTGAGGTGCCTACGCAGGCCGAACAAAGACTGAGGTGCGTGTATGGCATCTAGAAACATCTAGAAGCATCCAGCAGTATCCCAGTGCCTTGTGTGACACTACGCCGAGTCAGCCGCTGCAACCGCTGATTCCTACTCGTGCGGCGTCGTTCTGTTCGCTCGATCGCGTTATATCTAATTTGCATCCGCGCTATAAAAAATGGTTTTTTTCGAATACACTCATCGCGTTCTATCCAATTTGCGTTTTGAAAACAACACGCATTATAAGAGAACAGACTAAGGTGATGGGAGCTGTGTAAAATCCTCCTTGTGCAGCTCATTAAAAACAATCTTAAACGATGACCGCATTTTTGCCCATTACTCATTTGTAATAATGTTTCATTGCGTTTTTTAGAAAAAGTTTTGCTTGTTGTAATAACCCCCGGGAATTGTCCTGAAGGAGAATTCATACCGAGTCCTATTAATTTTACAATGGGTCTGGCTATATCTCTTGCCCCGTTTTAATTTAAAAGACCATTATGCATGTGTGCCATTCGTATATATAACATAAATTATATTATACATTTTTTATATATGCGGCAGATAAGTATAAATGTTAATTTTGTCACAAGCTTCAACGGACATATGTTATGATCCATTCAAAGATAGCCCACTGACTTCTAATGCCCCTCTTTGTTCTCGACAGGTGACTGAACATTGTGAATGACACGGCTCTGTGTTGATGAGTGCATTGCATTGGTGAGGACGTGGAGAGGCTTTAGGATAAAAAAAACGTAAAATTTCTCCGTAATTTATTTCCATCATTTTAGCGGGGGTATGTATACATACATACTCCGGTAGCATTGAAAAACTCTCAAGTGTCACTGTACAAAAAAATCTACATGAGTCTATCTTAATCCCAGCAAGCAGCATGAAATCGCACACAACACTGACTTTTTATGTTATTTTTCCAAACACGAATTCACAGTAATTGTAAACGGTATGCGGCTTCTATCGTCAGCACTTTTACGTGCTTATTTGCTGGCATGTAGCGGACGGCACAATGCATCGTGCGGATTGGGTCCAAAGACTGCTCACTGCCCTACAAGTATGAAAAATAAGAATGGGTTTTACCCCTTCTGGCAATAAAACAGGAGGTGTTAAGATGTTCAAACACCAAATCGATATATTTTTCAAGGAATCAAGTACTACATTAACCGCACGCACCTGTGGTGAACATGCAAACACACACGCTCTAATAATAGAAACATTGTCCTTGAAACTGATTGACCTCCACCAGGGACAGCCGTCTTAATGGCTTTGTCTCGCCAGTGTCAGACCAGAGAACGTCAAAAGTCGAACACTCCGAAGAGAATGCACGTATCGGAGAATTTATAGCTCGGAGTGAGCAGCTATATCATGGGACCTCTTCACCAGAATCAAAAGTATGAAAAACGAGAATAGGGTTTACCCTCTCTGGCAAGTAAAACAGGTGCCCTGCACGTGTTCACATTGGGATGACGAGCACTGTGCATTGAAAGGGTGACCTCCGTTTCATCCGTGGCCGTCCCACCCAGATTTGGCAGGAAGGGATTTTGCCCTCCAGCCCGGCATGCAATTTAATTCCGACGTCGGAGGAAGTTTAAAAACGGAGGCGGCGGGGGAGGGGGGAGGGCTGCGTGAAACGTCATTTCGGCAGCCGTGAAGCCCGTTCCGATATCAAAAGGCGCATATATATTTACCGCCGTTTAAATGTGCGGCACCATTCTAATCAAAGGCAGGCCATACCCCCAAGGATAACGCCATGCAAAGAGAGAGAGAGACGGCTTGGGCGGGAGGGAGGCCGGCTCTGGTTCGAGGCTCTGTGCTTATTAAACAAATTCATTCCCCGCCGTCGGAGCCGCCAAGAGGTGACGCCGCTGCGATTCCCGAATTCCCTCCCGGAGGATTGACGGTGGCGCCGGCAGAACCCCCGTGCTCGCGGTGGTTACAAGAGGGCTTTCGCACGGCGCGCGCTGAAGATGGAACTGTTTAATATTTTGGAGAGGGTTTCGTTCTCACACTCCTTCTGAGCTTCTTGCTATATGCTGCCTCCGATCTCGCACGTATGGACTACTCACGGTGTAAAAGAAGTTCAACGTACATACCAGGGTTGCGGGCAACGTCTTTGAGTAATAATGGCCAGCTGGCTCGAATCTTGACGAATAAATTCATGTAGCTGATGCGGCGGAGTTAAAAAAAATATTTTTTTAGTTTTTGTTACACCGAGTGACGGCGCTGTCACACTGCCCGGAAGCAGGCTTCTCCCCACCGAGCACGTGAATGTTCCACACGGGTGGCTCCTGGAACGGACAGCGGGGAAAATCTGACTCCCCACTAAATCTTAACTTGCTTTGTGGACCTACTTGTAGCTCGTGTATCTCTGAAGCCGAAGCGGTGAGTTGTAAACGACTTAGAATTTCGGGGTTTCTCCTCGCCCGTTCTACGGTTCACATTTACTTTCGGATCGGGCCGCAAAGTATAATTTCATGCAAAAATTATTGTCGTGAACCCTCCACCACTGGAGAAGCTTGTCTCGTTTACGAAGATATTATTCATACGCATTGATCAAATTCTGACCAGTTAGGCACCCCACGGAGGGGTTAGGGGTTGGATTGAGACTTTCCATTCCTGCATTTTAAATCCTTTATATTAAGTTCGCTTGCTTGCTTGCGTGCTTGCTTGCTTACGACCGTGTAAATCTTTCGGTCGTTTTTTAACCCACTTCCCATGATCCAATCGAGTTGACATTTTCCACACAGACTCGTTGTGCGTGACAATTAATGTTCGTGAATTTTTTTTCTCCAAAATTTTACACTTTATAGGACAAAAATATTATATTTAATTACCAATTGTTTAATACTGCAGACAATCATTTGACCCATAGGTGGCAGCCATCTCAAGCCAGAGGAGGAGAGGACTCTCGCCGCCACGCATATAAAGGATTTAGAGTGAAAAACTTTGTTTTTACGGGTTTACTTATTAACGCCAACGTAAGACATATATTCACTCAAACTGCGTTTGACGCTTCCTCCAAGTTGTGAAGCCCGTGTGAAACCAACAACTGCCAAAGAATGATCGCCCGGTCTAAATGTGTCCGTTTTTGTTCTTGTTAACGACTGGTTAACATAACAGGGCCTCTAAAATACCACAGACCTTATCGAATAATGGGGCCCTGGTGCAAGGAATTAAACGGAGTGGGTCCTCCCCCCTCCCCCCTGTCCAATTGTCTCCCTCTTCCGCGCCCGGCACATTGGCCCTCTCAGATCCTCGGCTCCCCCCGTGAAATTGCCCCGCCTGCGCATGCTCGATAAGCGATGTGACGGAGTCATCTTCTTGGTTCTTTCGGTAAAGTCACGTAGAAGGGAAGTAATAAAATATTTAAGCTGGGTTAAATAACCAACCCAGCTTAAATATACGCTCCAAGCTTGGTGGTGTTTCATTCTTCACCTGAGGACGGCTGCTTGCGTTGTGGCCGAAACGTCGTGAGAATTATTTTATTATGTTTTATTTTTATTATTTTATTACTTCCCTTCGACGTGACTTTACCGAAAGAACCAAGAAGATGAATCCCTGCAGTCACGAAAGCTTTAAATCGAAAGGTAAGTGGGTGTTTTGTTTATACGGTGGTCCCCGTCTCTGTGGCCCACCAACCCCCCAGCTCCACGTCTCTCTAGATCACAGACAACAGGTACACTACGCTCGGCTATCAATGGCCATAACCTGAATCGGAAATGTTTTCAAAAAATATTTTGACATTTGCAAACGAAATTTTAATGATGTTATATATACGCATTTGCAATGGATGTATGCAGACGGGCAGTGACATTTCAATTTGTCCTTGCGCTCCAGTAATACTGGAGATTAAAAAAACTCGGCAGCCCCTTGCCAAATCCACTGCTGGATTAAGGCCTCCCCCCCACCCCCATACCATGTCGTTTGTGGTGGTTGTTCGATCATACTGCATCACGCTTGTCGGTACGGGTCGATAAAGCAGGGCACTCGGTTATTACACGCCAATTGCCAGGAATCAAATCCAGATCGCCGGGATTACGTTGCAATACGCTAACCACTGTGCCGCCACTCCATCTCGAACGTTTAGAGACGCACAGAAGTAATTGATTTTCACATTTAACGGTATCATCTCCGTGCCAATGCTGTACTAGAACAATGACTCTACAAAACCCTGCCTCGCTGCTCTGTGATTCAGAGCTGCATTGTAGTTGACATTTTGAATCATCATAAAAGGAATCTTTCAACGTTACAGTGTTCGCCTAACGGGCCTACAAAGAGGATGTATTTTCGTCTATGCCTGTCGT